AGCAGGGCAGTAGGTTAGAGTGGGCAAGGAATGGGATGTGGCTTCCTAGTGGAGGTCCAGAGCAAAAACCCATCACCAGCAACTACTACATTAGATGTGGGCATGCACACGCATGCATGAGAGAGAGAGAGAGAGAAAGGTGTTATGTTAGGGTACAGGGGCAATCCCTTGTGGCGGGCCCAAGTGTGACTGAAGGATGGGGACTACAACACTGGTTCCTGACATTTGCCACACAACAGAATCACCTGGGAGTTTAAAGTGCTGCCTCCCACTCTGTCTTCCATATTGACTAAGTCAGAACTTTTGAGAGCCAGACCCAGGCATTTGCATTTTTAAATTCCCAGTTAATTCCAATGTGTAGCCAAGTTTGAGAATAGTGGATTAGAACTTTATTTCTGGATATTAGGATGTTTGCAAGAGAAACCCAAAGAGCACTGTGCCTTCAGGGAAGGAGCTTTTCTGCAGGCAGCTTGGGCAAAGGGTTTGCAGAGGTAGGAAGTTTTGAAATCTCCTTCCAAAGAGATTTGCCATCACAAAGCTCTTCTGACATGATCTAAGCCACCCTCTGACAGTTGCAGAGACCCAGAGAGAGGCAGTGATTTGTCTAGCACCATACACCAGCCAGCAGCAGGGGCCAGGCTGGGCTCCTGATACAACACACACTGCAAGGTGTGTGTACATGTGCAAGCATGTGTGTGTACTCATGTATATATGTTCTTAGCAAGGGTATGTGAACATGTGGGGGAGTGTTCAATAAATATATATATATATATATATATATATATATATATAATATGTGCATGTGTGCTGTGTATGTGTGTGGGAATACATGTGTATATGGCTATAGGTGTGTCTACGTGTGTGGGTGTGTGTATTCGTACATGCTGAGTGTGTGTGCATACATGTGTGTATACAGTGATGTGTATGCATGCATGTGTGTTGTGTGCTTGTCTATACGTATGTGTACATAACATACGTAATGTGCTATGTTATGTGTGGCATATGCCTATAAAGAACTTTGAATAGATATCTAATAATATTTGTCCATTTCATTTTGTTCAAACGTATACACCTTTCCAGAAGTCCCACCTTGTCACAGAAGTACTTCTCAGATTTTTAAACCTCAAACAATGGGCATATTGATATACATAATTTGGTACGGGGGAAGGAATTTGGTTTTTTAAAAATTTTCTGCCAATGAGCCGAGCACAGGACGGGATCCATGGAAACAAACAACAATTGCCTCCAAACACTGGGGAATACTCGGCATTTTTGCATGTGTTGTAACAGGCCACCAGAAATTCTGACTAAAACCCCAACTTCAAGCCAAGGTACATGGTAAAGAAAAAAGAATTAGTTCATTTGAAGTTTAATTAGCATGTTTTGCCACTGAAACAAGCTAAAGCATAAATAGCCTTTATCATCTCTCATCTCAGCTTGGGTCCTGAGAAAACAACCCCAGAGTGACGCCCAGCCATGGCCTATGGTTAGGTGAGGGCAACTTTCAAGAAAGCAGAATGAGCAGAGCCTTCCTTGGGCAGAGGTTCATGCTGAGACACAACCCAACACAAACGCAAAAAGCCACCAGAGGCGGGGGTTCCCAGGGCACTCCTTCACCACGCTGTCTATGGAGCTGGCCCAAGGCTGCCCCCTAGGAGCCTGGATGGATGCAAGAGGCATGGAGGGCAATCTGGGCAGCTCCCCAATACACTTGCTCCAAGCAGATCTCTGAGCAAAGGGCAATAAAGACTCTACATTGCAGGTAGGAAATGGTACTTCTGAGAAGGGGAACTAAGGCCCAGGGCTGAAATGAACAGTCCCGTATGTCAAAGAGGCAGCACAGAGCAGGCCAATAGCACTGGTGGTGCTGATTTCTCTGGAGGAAGTGGTATGGAAGGGAAGGTCCTGTGGAATTTGGTTGTGATGTGCATTCCTGGTGGTAGGGATATTTGGCTTTGGATCAAATAAAATTAGGGTGAAGCTTTAGGAAGACAGCCTAAAGAGAGCCTTGTAGACAAGCACACAATCTGGAAATAAAAGTACCTGATACCCTGACTCACACAGGGACACCCTGAAAGCACAGGGGAATAACACTTGGGGGCCAGTTCTAGATGGGTAGGCAGGTCATAGCAACCTCCTTCTGCAGGGTCTTCAGTCACAGAGACCCCCTTATTCCTCGCAGGAACACTCTGTGACCAGGGTGAGATGTCTGCCTAGTTGGCGAGGTTTCAGGGAAGGTGTGGGTGGACATGGGCATTTGTCACCAGACTCTTTCCACAGAGGTAGGTCCTTCTCCCAGGTCTCAGGGCACACACTCCTCTAAACACACTGACAAGACAGAAAAGAGCTCTCGTGACAGGAGTCTGAGGAAAGGCTGGTTCTGTCACTAGGCCCACAGGTAGCCAGTTCCTGATTATCCCTCACCAGGGACAAGAAGCAGCGGCTGCGTTGTCAATTAACCTGTGGGGCGGGGCTGGTCTTCACTAAAGTGGATGTTCCTAACTAGGGCGACCCTGGATAGGATTCAGGGGGCCAGAGAAGATCAAAGACCCCAGAAAAACTGACTCTTTGCTTTTGTAGAAGACCGAAGGAGAATTTGAGCCTATCCAGGTGCCAATGTCCTTCCACAGCGGCGAGCTCGTCCCGGCAGGGAAAGCAGGCTCACAGCACAGAGACCAACACAAGCAAGATGAGCATTTGGGTTACCACGGAGCAAATGAGAAACGCTTGGGCGTTTCTGATGGAGAGGACAGAGAAATCTGATGAAAACAAAGCCAGACAAACCAGAAACACCAGCTCCAAGTGGCCCAACAGCCTTTTCCAGCTAGGATGACGATGGAGAAACTGGCCCCTGATGGGAACCTCCCCAGAGGCTGAGGGTAGAGGAGACCCACCCACAGGGTCAGTCCTTGGAGAGTTCCTGGATAGGTATGCATTAGCCATCATGGTCATCAACTCGTTGGGTACTCAGAATTGAGACCCCATTAGATGGACATTGCCCACAAAGACTAAAGACCAAGGCTTTCCATGATGACAGCTGCACAGCTAATGTCACCACAGGTGGGGTGACAGGGCTGTTTGGGGTACCAGGAGCCAGGTTGAGATTTTTTTTGGAGCTTTGAGCCAGGAGCTGAGGCTGAATGGAATGGGGTGGAGATGGGACAGGAGGGACAGGCAAGTCTCTTGCAGAGAAGAATAGATAGGCTTGAGCTGCACCCTGGGCTGTGGCCAGAAATGGCAGCATTTTCTCATTCTAAAACCTACTTTCAAAAGAGGCTAGTAAGGAGTTAGCAGGGCACTAAATAAAAGGGAAGTGGGGCAAGTGAGTGGAAATCTGGCAGAAGGACCAGGAATGAAACAAGAGCAAAGAGTACAGAAAAGACCTTGACCTACTACAGCCGTGTTTCTTGTCCTTATCTCTACCCTGGGGCCACTCAGAATGGGGAAACAAGAGGCCAGAAGCCAGAGGTAGGGCATTCGAGCTGGTGTGTGTGCCCGATGGGAGAATGGGCAGGTCTATATCTTTTGCCTCCTTCTGCCTCAGTCCTGCCTCTCTTGCTTTCCTGGGGCTGGACTTAATAAATAAGTCCGGACTGCCCTGGGCTTATTTGCACACTCCTGTGTGCAGTCTTTACTAGCATTTTAATAAAGTTAGCTAAATAAATTTTAAAAAGCAATAAACAAATTAAGAATTCTAACATGTGGACTTCTTACTGGGAATTATTCGTATTAAAGTATTTGATCTCAAAATCTTCTACCATCAACCCCTCAGTTAGGTATTGCTCCTTTCTTCTTCAGATTCAGGGGTCCTATCCTTTTCTCCTTGCTTCCCCTGGTGGGGGACCTTGTCACTCACAGAGGCTGGGAACCAAACTTGGAGAATTATCAATGCTGGTTCTGCTGAGGTCTTTCTGGGGCTAGGAGGATTCCCAATCCTGCCCCTCTCATTCCCTACTCTTCCCATAAGACACTTGTTTCTACATAAGCTGGGTGGGGTAGGGCAAATTCAGTGCGAAAGGGGGTTTCTGCCTTAACGATTGCAGAAAACAGGAGTATCCAAGCCCTGACCCATGTGGCATGGGTCTGTAATCCCAGTGGCTGTGGAAGCTGAGACAGTAAGATCACAAGTTCAAAGCTAGCCTCAGCAACTTAGCAAGACTCTGTCTCAAAATTAAAAAAAAAATTTAAAAAAATTTAAAAAAATACAGGCTGTAACCGAGGCTCCACAGTTAAGCCCTGCTGGGTTCTATCCCTGATTCGAAGAAAAGGGTGCGGGGGGTGGGGGGTGGGGGCGGAAGAAAGAAGAAAAAGAGAAGAGAAAAGAAAAGACCACTTTCCTAGCTTACTTCAACCAGATTTGCCTCTTCCTGGGGTGAACTCCCATTAGAATGCCAGGGAGTTCCAAGGACTTGTCCTGATTCCCATGTACTTCCCGGTCCTGAAGCAACTCTTCCAAGCCTTAACTCGGGTCTCAGTGATTCTCTCAGCCCACCACGCCGACCACGCACCAGCCCCACCAAGATCAGGATCCCACTGAATCTGAACGCTGGGCGCTGACCACAGACTGAAGGCGCAGAGGGTCGCAAAGCTGAGAAGGATGGATGTGGGGAAGTGACCACAACCCTCGGTGAGCGCTGGGGCGGTGAACCGCACTGGGGGCGGGGGGGGGGGGCAATACAGAATAGTGGGCTGGTCCCCGGAGCAAAACCAGAAAGAGAAGACCATCCAGATCCAGGGGCATGGACAACAGCTCCCTGGAGATTCTCGGGCTCCCGGAGTGCTGGAGGGATGTTCCCTGCTATTCACCCCAGGGAGCTACCCAACCTTGCCCACTAGCTCTTAGACCCGGCTAGCCAGTGGCCGGCCGTGGCTCCACCCTGCCAGGAGCTTTGCTCCCACTTGGCGGAGACCCTGCCTGGAGCTGGCAGCCTCTCGGTTCCCGCCGCCTGTTCGAGGCGCCAGGGAGGTGTGCACGGGTCGTGCGGGCACCAGGCCTTTACCTCGGTTGGAGTGGCTCAGGGTGGACGACTGGGAAGACTTGGATTTCTGCCGCTTGACGGTCATCATCACCTGCTCCTGCACGCGCTGCCTGCCTGAGGTGCCTGTCTTCATCTTCTGGTCCGACGGCAAAGCCAGCGTGGAGTTGTCCTGGTCCTGGAAGCATTCGTATGCCAGGGCTGTCTTGAGCGGGGAGTGGTTCATGGTGGCAGAAGGTGCGCGGGCCGGGACCTGGAGAGCAGAGGCGCGGGCGAGGTGCGGTGCAGCGGGCTGGCGGGAGCGTGCTCTTGTCGCTCTCAGCGACTCCCTATGGCCATAGAGTGAGTGGTCCGTGTGAAGGCTCCCGGCAGCTGCTCCTGGCGCCTCCACCCTGGCTCGTCCGTCTCCAGGCACTGGCAGGGCCCGCCCTCGGTCAGACAGGATATACCACCCCTGCCCTGCACCACCCACTCCACTGGGCTGCGCGCCGCCGCCAGGGCTCAGACGCCCAGCTGCAGGGCACTGCTGCTGCTGCGGAGCGAGCGCTCTTGGGGGCAGGGCTGCTCTCCTGTGTGGGATGCTCTCAAGTTCCTGCTGGCTCCTCCTTTCTCTCCCCTAGGAGGTGAGGCTCTAGGGAGACGCCCCTCTGTTCTACTCCCGCTGGCTCATGAAGAAAGTATGTGCTCAGCCCAGGAGTGGAAGGAGACCTCTCTCTAGGAAAAAGGAGTCTTTCTGCCCAGGCCCCCTACCCTGAGAGTCAGGTGCCAATCTCCCTTTGCACTGAAGTCATGGCAGAGACCAACCCTGTCCTTGGGGGCTCCTAAGCTTATGGCAGAGGAAGCACAGTTCCTGCCCAAGGGGATTGCTCAGTCTTATGGGGACCCCTCATTCTGCTCTAAGGCAGAATGTTTGAAGGGAAGTGAGGGCAGGAAAGCCACACCAAGGACCAGAGGTCAAATACAACACTGCAAAGTAGCACATCTGTCGCTTGTGGATACACTCCTATACAACACCATGTGAAGAGTGGATTCTCTGAAACTCCATAATAGCCCCTAAAACAATATCATATTTTAGGCACTCGATAAAAAAATATTTGAATGGATGAATGCTAGCTAGTTTAAGGTGAATGAATCCTAACTTGAATCTTACCCAGATCCTTACTGAAAGAACTGAAGCCATCTCATCTCTAAAACTATCCTACTATGGACTTGGTATTTTAGGACTGCAGTGTGCTTTCTCCTATACACACTCATACCCCCGGGGACACACACAGATACTTCATTTATGTAGCATCCTCTCCAGGCATGGAGGGGGCCACACCAGTGAATTTGGTGTGTAACAGCAGCTGAGTGTTTTTCAAAGTACTTTGATGGGAATCTTTCTAAAAGGCATCGCATGCGATCTTGCCTTCAAAAGAAAGCCACGTTGAGCACCTTGAACATTCTTCTTGATGACTTGGTCCTTTCGTTCTGGACATCCATCACTGAACTGTGTAGCAGTGCAGTCTGGTCAGCTTAATTTTGGGGTCTCCGATATCTATGGGATGCTGTCACCGTGGTCATTTGTAACTGCTTCTCACAGCTCATACATATCACTTTTATTTTGCCCTTCTGATTCTGCAGAGAAAGGACTCAGCAAGAAATAAATCAGACATGTGACCAAAAACATGTCATAATTAGATGCAAAAGTTCAACACCTATAACCCTTTATCATCACTTGATATTTTCAGATTCTGCTTCCAGTCACTGACTACCAGGGCTGGACAGAGCCTTGGAATCACCCAACCCAGCTCCCCACTGCACTAGTAAGGAGAGGAGGTAGCTTGCCTGTGGTGTCCCAGTTAATATGTGGCAATATCTCTATTCAAACCAGGCCTCCTGACTCTCAGTTCAGTGCTCGTTCTACCACACTATCCAGCTGCCTTATAAAAGTCCTATAAAATGGGCATTAAAGTAGGGTGCACACCGAATATATTAAGGACCCAAGTATATTATAAAGTGCACATGACAGCATATAAAAATGCAACTCCATTGTATCCCACATTTGGCCTATCTAAAACCTAATATGCTGGCCATAATTAACCTTAATTATGTCTTAAAATAATGATAATTTTGCTACCTACTAGGATATAGAAGGGCCCTGAAGGAGGTGACTAGAGTAGCCCATATCCCTATAAAAATCAAGTTCACAGACACTAAAACTGATTATCTTTACAACTGTTTCCAAGTATAAAGTTCAGTTTCTCTAGCTGCTGATCTATTATTTTGGTATTGACATTATTTTGATATGTTGACGGCAATAGCCATCATTTACTACGCTCCTACGAGCATCCCATGTTTACAAGTCAAACATGATTCTAAGCCAGCTGTATGGACCCTGTCATCCTTATAATGCTTTGAATCCTTAGCATGACCTGTGAGGCAGGTATCAGCACCACCATATTTCTTCTTTAGATGAAGAACCTGACACTCAGGGAGATCAACCAGCTGGTAATTGGTACAGATTAGGCCAAGCACACACAGCCTGGACTGAGAGCCTAGACCCTCAATGACAGTGCCAGGCTGCCTTCTTGTAATTTCTTTGTGACAAACAGTGGGTTCAAAACCCTTCCATGGATCTATCTTCCCATAACATCTATTTCCGTCACCTGGAAGGGAAGTCAGGCCATCTGGGTTCCCCTTCCAGTTGTCACTAATTTGCTTCATGGTGTCTCCTGATGTTCCATGATGGCTCTTTTCCCCTGCACCAAATCTGTAAAGTGAGGAGATATAGTCAATGGGTTCTAATATCTAATACTGTGGTCAACACTATATAATTCTGATGCCACTTGTGGGTTTGGAGAACAGGAGAATCTTGAATCAAATCCTCTGGACTAACTCTTTGGTCTCCCTTGCCGCCAATATCAAAGTGAATGGGGATCTGCAAGAGGCCGAGGGGGCCCTGACACCCACCAAGCCATTGCTGTGCATCAACAAGCAGGTCTACATTGAGCTCATTCTTCCTCTGGTCCTCCCCATAAGCACTCCAAGAAGTATAGTTTTGCAGTTGAGAAAACACAGATTAAGTCAATGGTAAAGATTAGATTTGAGCCAACATCAGCCTTCTGGACTAGGAGAAGGAGGACAGGAAGGGGCAGTTGAGTCCCATGATCAAGGCCAGCAGAGAGAGGTATATGTGAGCTTGAAGGTGTCGGTTTGGGGCTCAAGTGCATGCTTTTGAGCCAGTGAGTTGAAGTTCTCCTATTGACCCTCTCTCCCACCTGCCTGAGCCTCACCCCATGTGGGGCCCTATCTTGGAAATCAACCAGAAAAGAGGGTAGCATTACTAAAATGAAGAACAGGTGTCAAGGGCATTGTCACACAAACTGATCTTTGAAGTGGCATGCTTTTAGAACATATATTTAGATGGTGGAAAAATTTGAGTGAATTTTTTTGGAAAATGAGCAGGTGATCTGGGGAAAGCTTCCCAAAAGAAGTTAATTATGACTTGACTATGAAACAAGATGCGTAAATTTTCATCCTCAAGAGCTTAGGAACAAATGATGAGGAATAGGCTTCTAATTTTCTGTTGTCTGCCTGTCACATCAAGTATGACCCTGATTTCACTCTCAACAACCAAGGCTCCCGGTCTTCAAGAGAGTAAAACAACCTGTGGACTCAATGTTCACCGAAAAGTGGCACACGGCTCTATTTATTCAACAAGTATTTAATGAGCACCTGCTATGGGACAGGCCCTGTCCTAGGCACTAAGGACACAATGGTAAAGGAGACAAACTTCCTGGCTGTGAAGTTTACCTTCTAGAGATAGGGAGGTAGGGGAAGCCCGGGCCAGGCAGAGGTCAGACCCAGTCAAGGCTGAGGTCTCTGGAATTCCTAATGCTTCTAAGAGTAACCCGGCTTCAGGTTCTTTTTGCCTAACTTCTAACCCCCCAGGTAAGGGGATCCACCTCCCCTTGTGTACCAAACTGATGCAGACCCCCTTTGGGGCTGGGAGATGAAGCAACCTTCCTTTCTGGACCTGTATGCTTGCCAGGATGGCCTCACCTTATTCAACCCAGTCTCTTTGCTCCAGGCACCTGGAATTTTCTGCACAACAGCCACTGGGCCAGCTCTCTGTTGTCAGGCCTTTTCTATGTGAGGCCCTTTGGCCAGACAGCAGTCCTCCATGGCTGCCTAATTCAGGCCTCATGACCTCCCCAATGAACAATGCTGCCCCCTCTTGAATCTCTAAATAGCCCCCAGGTGTTCCTTATCACTCTGTTTCTCTGCTAACCCTCAACCACTCACTCCATGCTGATGCCTGCCCCAGTGTATTTCCCTATGTGTAGATCCCATTCATCAGCCACTTAAATATGTATCAAGCTCTAAGTGGACGAGACTCACTACACTAGCCCCTGGGGATACCAAAAACAGCATCTTGCTCTCATGGGGCTTACATCCTAAAGTGGTGTCGAAGGGTAAACTTGCAACTGATTACGGATTATTAAGTGCTCTGGAGAAACAGATTCGAGGCTGGTGGAGAATACAGAGAGTGGGGGGAGACCGAGTCCTGAAACACGAAACACAGCTGCCCATCATGGGAGGGAGGGAAGGGGCTCCAAGCAGAGGGAATGGTGGGTTTAAAAAGCCCATGAGCCCGGGATGTCCTTGGGACCCACAGGCCAGCAGCAGGGAGATGGTAGAGTAGGCCCAAGATGGGCAGCAGACAGTGCTGTCCCGAACAACTTTTTGTGATGGTGGAAGTGCTCTGTCTGTGGTGGCTGTTCTATGGCTTGAGATGACATGAAATAAAAAGAAAATTTCAGTTCCTTGAACAAACCAGCACATTTCAAGAGTGGGATGGCCACATGTTTCTAGTGGTCACTGTGTTGGACAGAGCAGGATCGTGCTGGACATTCTAAACTTCTGTCTAGGTTTTGAATTTTATTGTAAGTATAACGAGAAGCCATTGAAAGGCCTTAATCAAGGGGCTCCTGCCTTCCTGTCACTTTCAATCCTCTTGTCCTTGCAGGAGACACCCCCCAGCCACAGTGTGGCAGCCCATGACCCACTTGTCAGATTCATGTCTCTGAGCAGCCTGCAGGGAAGCTTTGCTTCCTCCCTGTCCACATTACTGGTACACAGCAGGTGCTCATCACTGTCGATTTGGCTGAACTGAACCTGTCATCTGCTCCAGAGCAGGGCCTTGTGCAGACCTTACCCAGGTCTCTTGAGTCAGTTGGGCTCCATGCAACTTGGCCAAGCCTTGCTTCCAAAGGCCAACTCCTCCTAGGATCTCACCTCCTGCAGGCAGGCATAACCTCAGCCCCAGCACACTTCTCTGCGCGTCCATGTGAGGGTAGGGAATCTGCCTTTTTCATCTCCCAAGGGAAATTCATATCAGGAAGCCAGAATTTGTTCAAGCCCTGCCCTGTCCTGGACAACCCAGGAAAACCCAATCTAGGAACCAGATAAACAATGCCTCTTAGAAACCTTGTGGTATCTCCTTTCACAATCCTGGACCCTGGCTGCCC